TCCACAGTTGCAGCGAATGGTGTGGAATTTAGATTTCGAACGAATCTAGTTAAGCACCGTGCTCACTTTAAGGCATGAACTGGGTGATGTCAACGATTAGCTGAACCCTTTATGCCCTGGCGACCGACTGTTTTGTCCGTGTGTTGGTCAAGTATTACATCGCTCAAAAGAGAACCACTGGTTGCAACCAGTTGATTGCTATTGTTAAATAGCCAACATGAAAACAGTTCCGTGAATCGAAACACAAACATCTCGTGTGGTTCTGTTTCGGGTTTCTGTGCCGTAATACACCCATTGGACCTTTGTAAGAAAATAACAACCGAGACCGTATCAACAGATGGTCCATAGGATCATTCTTTGAGATTGGAAAATCGCAACTCAAACCACAGTAAAGGTAACTGAAGAAAGATGGGACATGAGAAGAGACAAGGGAATAAAGACGGTTGTGCAGTACAATCTTCGACTTTTGCATACCAACGTGCGGATCGTAAGGTAGCAAGACACTATAAAAGGATAAGGATTACCAATTCGAACATCACGGGTATCTGCAGCCTTCAACCCAATTTAACTCGTAAGTCTGATGTTTTGATGAAATGTAGCCAGTGTGGGGAAGGTCGACACACACAGATGAGAAACTTAGAATCCAAATTAATGCCGGATAGTACATAAAGCGTACTCCAACTAGGTGATTTCTAACCGTGCTTTCTGCGGTTAAACTATTACTGGAACTTTGATAATCTCGCAACTTTCAGTACTGATAACTCAGAGTCATATAAAGCGATATTCTCGTAGATTCAAGACAGGCAACGATTAGATCTATTTCATTTGGCATAAAGTGTGGTTCACTAGAGATAAGGACAATCGACAGTCCCCGTAAGCATCTGGTTTATGTACTACAAATATTCGAGTTAAGTGTAAATAAAGGAAACGCATGCCAGTCTTTATCAGACCCAAAAGCGCCACACATACAGTTTAACCAGCGTTCAATTTAGGCTTGCTCTTAAAGCACTAAGAAGGTTTGGTTTCAAAAAGTATGCGAGAGAAAACGATAGCGGTAACAAACTGACCGCCCTTTACAAAACACCTGACATTACAAAGATAATTTACTATTTTCGGGGAGGAGGGGAAATAAAACTAAATGATGAACTTGATGAGAGTTACAGCAGAGGTCAGTGATGAACTTTTCCGTAACAGGCAGTTTAAGCAAACCGAAAAACGTTTTCAAACCATGGAAGATATCAATAGGGGAGGGAACGCCCATGTCTTTCAAATTTCAAAAAGCAGAAAGGGACAAGATTTTGCTGTAAAAAAACTAAATAGAAAGAGATGACCTACTGATCAGCAACGACGACGATATATTCAAAACTGTGAAAAGTAAACCCCTACGGGTCTCATTACGATACACCTGGACGCAAAACCTGAAGTAGTGGAACATAAAGTATTAAGGTATTTAGTCAGTACTTTATCCTTTGGGTATACGTTTACCCAGAAACAGTTATTGTGATCTAGCAGGGAGGCTCGTGCAAGATTAACGGTCTACAGATTGTTATGACCAAAGCCAAGCTGGAGCTCAACAGTTCGTCTCAGATGGTACAAATTTACCACTGAGGTAATAGCAGGTTAGCAATGGCAGCTCATGAGGTTAATGAGAAAGCTTCGAAGTTTGCAGCTATGCTAGTTGAACGAATTGTGTCCCAATCCCGACGAGACCTGGGGCAACTGCATTGTCCCGACTCAAACGAAGTTCTGTAAAATCCTCCAAATGTGGTCCAACAAGACCCTCCCATAAATATGGACTCTGGATAAGAAACACTTCTTTGCAGTCCATCCAGATTGCGCCTAATAATTGCACCGTACCAGTTTGAGTGTGAGGACACTGTATGAGGTCGCACGAAGTTAAGGTCGTACGAGGACAAATGGCTTTTGTGGCTGATTGCGAAAGGATAGTGCAGCTGTGAGCGTCAACCTTTTTGGTTGTTCACGTGAACGTGGTTCATCAACTGCGTGGTTAGATCGATTTCAGTTATCACAAGAATGAAAGCAACAACACCAACAAGACTAAACTTAAGGTTCCTCGAATACCGAACTTTTTGATGACTGGAATAACCATTGTACCAGACCACCTGTGGCGTCAGAGTTTTTTAGTTTAAAAAAAAACTAGTTCCATAATGTAATAGTAAGTGTTAAAGAAGAATGACTCCAGTTATGGGCCTGATGGCACGAGTATCCTGCTGGTGTATTTGAGGAGATGAACCGGTAATCACCATCAGCCCGGTTCAATCAATCAACCAATCAATCAATTATACACAGCGTACCCAGTCGACTGCTAATACAGCCTTACTAGATAAAATAATTCACAGTTTTTGTTCGAATCGAAGTGTTCGTGTTATATGGGAACAATTATTATCTCATTCTCATGACGATAGAATTCACTAGAAATGCGGGACATTTATATAGTAAAACAGCAAGTGGAGTGATGTGCGGGTAACTTCCTGGTTCATGTGATGTTTGGTGTGAGCACCTACATTACGGAACATGATGTCAGACGATCGCGCAACATACATAAAGTATGGAGAATGGATTACGGGTGTTGAAGTCAAATTAATTTACTTTTACTGACAACAATGGTATCACCAACTTTCAAGAGGAAGAAGAAACGCAGTCAATCAGGCATTGATCGGGGAAAGATTGAACGGGAAAAGTCGGACAACGGTGATGGTGTGAATTGAACCCATGCACTCTAGATTAGTGCGATATGGTGACCCCCAACCGCCTGGTCACGAAACGGGAGATGGCCGATAGGTTTGTATGAACTAAGAAGAACACACAATCCACCTTATGACGTTATCCCAACTGTGCGTCAATAATTTCATTCCCGATGGTGCACATAGGTCTAATAGTTGAAACTTAACGGCAACAGATGACCCTAGACGCTGCCGGTGCAGGAGATCAAGATTCATGCAAATTCGAAAATAAAATAGGTTAGTCTGTGGTGTGCTAGTGAACATCGGAAACAGAAAATACCGCATGGTATTGACGGTAGGAACATCTCAAACATAATCCTGCAGCGGGAACCCGCGGAAAGTGAAATCAGTACTAGTGTACATAACAAAAACCGTCGAACGACAATGCAAGATTAAGACAGTTGTGTCAAGATAAAGTAAAAACTACAAAAACAACGGTAAGGATAACTTAATTTCGTTGCTATATTTCAGAAGGCGTAGTAGAAATATTGCATATATTATTAGATAAGTTAGAGAATATTATGAAAATGTAAGAATAGGATGAAAGAAAGCGAGCGAATCCCGTCATTCGATGATTCCAACCACAGACAAGACACGGATGGTGGACTACGAGCCAGAAGCATGATCCAATTAACACAATAACCTTGCGCTGTCAGGAGAGCAACACTCAAAACTCAACAGTAATCAACAAATAGTGACCACCGTACACTGTGGTCCGAAAAGTACAGACGAATCCGCAGAGTAAACATAACTCACTCTTGGCAAACTGCGCAATGGCGAAATCCAATCATTCAATGAAATTTACTGCTGAATCGGTGGAATATATTCAAGTCGTGTTAAACTCAATGTGTATAACCGCATTTCTGTGTTCTTACCTAGCCGTATCACCAGCAAGTTTATCGATACATGGACGAACAGAAGAATCGAATTCACTCCCGTCCGTGATCATTCGGCCCAGCTCGACCAACGGCCCAACGCAAGCTGCCCGTACAACTCGTTGGTTATCCGAAACCAAGCTGCAAAACAGACGGTTACAATAAGTGTGGGTGTAAAATTGCCGGATGATGAGACTGGCAATGAAGTAGGCAATCTCAGATTGGACAATTAATTCGGTACAATATACATATACCTTTTCAGATCACCGAATTAGATGAACAGACAAATAAACAGCAGTATTAGAGAATGATCAATTCAAATTGCCGTTTTGAACGTTTCTTCAAAACAATTATTCTCAGAAACGCGCAGCAAGTGACTAAAATCACTAAATAGTGTTAATCAATCTACAGACAGTAGCGGATTATTAGTGAGAGAGTAAACCGAACATTTACATCTCACTAATTAAACAAAGTCCTAGGGTTCATGTTAAAATGACACTTGATAGACCATATTGGACTGTTTTGTACAGGAAAAGGCATCTACACGAGGTTAAGTAATCAAATGAAAAATCTTTTCTTTTCCTGATCATTTTCCCGGAGAGGAGTGCTTATCTTTTCGCCTCACGGAAAAAGCGGAAGGTGAAAAAAAACAAGTACCTGGTTAAAAGTAAACACAGTTCGGTTTTCAGTTCGGATCCAATCAATTTGGCCAGATCGACCAGTTGTTGGATAGCGGCAGCACGCACCAAGGGTACTTCTTCATCGCTATCCGCCAGATGGAAAATACGACTGCAAACACAAATGGAGAGAACCAAGTGAGCGAACATTCTGACAACTACGGCGTGCAAAGGTTTATCAACTGGACATGATGTACATCTATTAAAATGAGAAGCAGGAGGAAACCGATGTTCCATCTGCGGCTAAAAAAACAATGGGCAAAACATCGATCAATCATTATCGCGTCAAATAATTTTCACCATTCAGTTGTTAATTGACAAAGGGTCAAATATGTGAATAAACCATTATGATGTGGCGGTCGATTTCAGCAACAACAAACTAAAAGAAAAAGGGAAGTGAATGAAATCCCTATTTTCAACTAGAAGTGTTTTTTTTCATTTCATTATTATTGCCTAATAACGTTTACACTTATTTATCAGCTTCCTATGTTCATCCATATATTGTGATCGTTGAATCACTAATCTGACGTATTCCTCTGTTTTCGTATCCACCGTCGAGATCCTAACGCTGGGAGAGGTGGGAAGAAAATATACGCATACGCATGATGACCGAATCGATCTTCGAGCTCAATCAACGCAGTGGTCCTACTTAATAATCTCACTTTTATCGCCGGGGAGAAGTCAATGATGGCATCCCAGCTTAGATGCAGTGAGTTTAGCTTAGCAGAGCATCAGTTCCATTGAGATACTAGCTCTCATAGCTCACGGATTTGTCTTGTCAGTTCAGTTTATCCCATATCATATTGATTTTTGTGATGAGTATTGCTAGTGTGGGGTAAACAACCTAGGTGGAAAGATAGCATCAGTGACATTATAGAAATTTCTTTGGTCGGTTTTTGTTATTATCATATCTCGCACGTGTCTGAAGCACAATGCAACAATCTTAGTAACATATAAATGCGTCCGTGCTCCGCTTGTGGGCGGAATATTGGCAGGTCGTCCATGCCAGAGGATACAAAAATGGTTCAAAAATCGGACTGAAAACGACTGGGAATGTCTAATCGAGTAGGCAAGAATTCAGTATTAGATAAGAGGACTGTCAGGATGGGGATGTAGAACGTTTGATCGATGTCGAACAAACAAAATCCTAGCCTTACATCGTTCGCCATTCCGAGTTTCAGGGTATAGATGGCCAGTGCCCACGGTTGATCAGCAAGTTCTCGGGTCTACAGAGTTAACCCTTCATTACACGAGGGCCTTCAAAATTTGTGTAGGTAAAAACAGTAGACCATTTGTGACGTACATCCGCTTGAGTGTAGATGATGGTGAATATTTGTAACTTACGAATTTCAGTGTTGACCACCGTACAAATTCTACTTCATAACATAATTCGAGCGAATGGTTTTGCAGTATATTGCTTGAAAAGCTAGAAAATAGTATGGTTCACCTCAGTTAGGAGAACCGTTGGCATAAGTGCCATTAAGTGGGATAGATTACCGAAAAATCGTAATCATTTCGTGTCAAAAATCATTTTTACTTCCTTTTATTGAATACACAAAGATACAAGTTTTCAGGAAGGGGGAAGTGGCCAATCAAAGGGCTGCCATGCAACACACACACAAATGGGGAAAGTCAGGCGGTGGTGGTGGTGAGAATCGAACACTCGTCCTCCGGGGTGATAATTTGATGACGCTACCACCGGGCCATCACCGCCCGTGTGGATGATGTGTGGTAAATCATATGCATGTTAGCAATAATGGTAGTTAACACCTAATGGTTCATTTTTTGTGCGATCCGTGTCTTCCAACAACTGTTTCCTGAAGTGGTGAATACGGTGGCGTGGATTGTCCAGTTATGGTACAAGTAGCTCAGAAGCATCAGGGACCAAATTTAATCGCGGTAGTTGCCGTAGAAAAGTCGGTGGCCCTAGCATATTGGATTCACATTATTATAACTTCTTGGGCACAATGAGGCTCCACAACTCAATCACCATTCTCACGGGAGGCAACAGTATCTGAGCCAACCAACTGCATTCCCAAAGCACACATGGGGGCATTTTACGCCAAAATTGCCGAATTCATCCAGCCGACTCGTAGCTCTGATATGATTATGTTAGTAGGTACTACCCAGGTTGGAAACTGAGCTCATCCAAAGTCTGTGTGGGAATATGTTTCGTTCTTTCCCACAAAGCGAACAGACAACAACAATCGACTAAATAAGTTCTATGCCGACTATCGGGTATCCTTACTTAACACCAACTTTTGGCATAGCTCTAGACGGACGACCTGGCGTTCTAGTTCAACAGAGAAGTTGATCTAAATTGGCAGCCTAGATCCGATCCCTGACCAACCTATATATTCTCACTTACCCTGTGTAGAATGTGAGCCTGGTAGTAACCAGTGAAGTTCCCTTCAATGTACTTCGCTGTACGATGATCACGACGTCTTTTTGGGTGAATATCCAGTAGCCAAATATCCATTCTGATAAAATGCGATGAACGACCAAAAAGCTACGTAGCTAATGATATTCCCGTGGAAACACGATGTATTTCGTCGGTATTGCGAATCTGATAAGCTAAATGTTCACGGAACATTTCGAAGGAAGATCGAATGCAGAAATATTCGACGCTGTATATTGAAAAGTTATTGGCTTACAGCGGAAATAGTTCATAAAAATCAGACATGAAATTAAAAAGAAACAACTTACTATTTTAAATCGGATTGAAATTTGGCAGAGACCAAAGGGTAGCAGGTGGTGATGAGTTTTGTGGTTACCTTGCGCGAAGCATAGTAGAAATCTTCTGTAAGAAGGTAAGCGCATAAGAAAAATTGAAAAAGAAAGCAGTAAGTTGAGTAACAGAAAAATGAAAAGGACTTCACCCTAATTAATGAAATGACAAATACAGTTAGCCGATTTTGTGCGTAAGGATGGGATAAACATCGGCCTCTGAATTCCAATCTTCCCCCGCGGAAAATCGCGATCTCGTTAGACACTGCTTTGGAAACCGGAAAATTGAACTCCGTTTCAGTTTATGCTACTACCCATCAAATGACCCTTGTAATTTTGTGCGGCATTTTGGTTGCTGTCTTTTGCCGATCGATTGGGATGGAGTAGAAGATTTCATCTGTTATCGTGATTGCTTGTCCGGATACTCCATCAGACTCTAGCGGCTCGGTGTAGACAGTCTTTTTCAAACACAGGTAATATATTTTACCTTGCTCCGGTTTCAGCTTTAGTTTGTACTATCGCGCACCGATTTTGGTTGCTGTCCTTTGGTCGCTCATTTGAATGAGCAGCAGGAGAAGGATAGGAAAGTTGAACGTTGAGTTGAGGGGAAAATGGAGAATTTCAGCGGACTAAGGTTGCAACAGAATTGAGAAGATGCAGGAACAACACTGTTTACGACAGCTTTATCACTGTCTCTAACCCTCAGTTACCACTGTCTCATGATCCCCATCCAGGAAGCCTAAGACAACCTATTTGACAGCGCCTCTCGGTCAATGTTTTTAAGCCCTCATGGTAGGTCTTATTTTGACCATCCTTGTCTTTTTTGCACCCACTAATTGCGTCGGCAAACGACGCGCGGCGACATAGTCTATTTGGTGGCATGTGTAACACATCCCAACCAGAAGAATCTATGGAGGTCGACCGGTTACTCCAGTGGGCAACCACGGTTACAGCTTCGGTAACAACCACCTACTTGCAACCCATTGCCGGTTTGCATCATTTGCGACCATAGGGTTCAACCCGCCTGCTGTTCATTACACAAAATGTATGCAATAATTTTTTTCATTAAAAAATCAAAGAATCAACACCTTGAGAGCACATCGATACCACTATCCTAGTACGAGGGCGGAGCCGTTTACAGGCTGACATGATAAAAAGTTGAGAAAATGAGAGGGTAGCGATGAAAAATATCATTTTTCTGCTACACCCAGTTGCGAAAAACCCGTTTTGGGGTGTCTATCCAAGGATCGTATTAGTGAAATGCACTTTTCTGGCAGTCTTCAAGCAAGGTCGACTGAGTTATTGGTCGCCTTCAGATCAGAAATGGTGTGCCTAAGGAAGGCAGTTCAGTTTGCTCCGAACAGCTTGATGAAGGAGAGATCCGGGTATGGTGTTTGTTCTGTACAAATCAACTGCAAAGTGCTCGTTTAAGACTGTTAGGACCTTGTGGCTGCACTAAACCTTTATGGTGATCAGGTAGAAGTAGAGAGTTGTAATTACCTCGGGAGCTTAATCACAACTGGAAGCGGTGTTAGTGATATCAAATCACGAACAGTAATAGTTACAGTAGCTTTGCCAACCTGCAACACCTGTGGCGACGCCTCCACATAACCGCGATTCGTACTGTTTTGCTTTGAGGTCGCGAGACCTGGCCTCTCGGTGTTCCGGATGCTGATATATTTTTGATATTCTACCATTCTTCAATGTATCGCCCGTATCTGGTGGGAACATTGGGTAAGCAGTCACGAGGTACGTCGTCGTGCATGGGGTGTTGCTAGTCGTTCTCTAAAACCAGAACAGCTCTACACAACGTCTCGAATGGCTCAGTTATATTTTGTGTATATCTGTCCATCGTCTACTTCTTTGTGCTCTCTTTGCATGTGCTGGGCGAGGAGGAGGAAGAAGTCACTAGGTAGTGAGGTTGTGGTCTGGCGTGGGTGCATGAAGTCTGTGAAACATCCTTATTCTATTTCATCAACACAAGGAGACATTTATGGGTGGAATTGCTATTGGTGATCGATTTCGAGTGCTCTATGATTTCAACCGCCAACATCAATGTGTGACATGTCCTTCCCTCCCTTTCTGCCTCCCCCTGTATCACAACCATCACCCTGTTAGAACCAGTTATCTTTCATACATTATCAAATTGTCATTTCACTGAACCTAAACCCGTCGATAAACCCCAATTACACAGCGCACTTGCCCATAGACTTGTTTAAATGACTCACTTAAACTCCCATATTTCAGTATTTGACATGACTGTGTAAATGTGCGTTTACAGCTAAATGAGAGCATGGGAAACTGTTGGCAAATATCAACTCTGCCTACCTATCTTCTTGTGTTGGCAATATGCAGTCATCCTCAGCATGGGCTTCGGTTAGCACAACCCGCCTTTCAGGTTGAGGCCTAAGAGAATGTCGCTGGTTAGAAGCGCGGACAGATATGTCACAGAATAGAAGCCATCGGGGCAAATGCTGTACAGTTTGTCTGTTGAAACCTCATGCACCCATAAAGAAAAGTAAAATACGCACAAAATATCAGGGTACAATGAAAAAACACCAGTGTTGTTCCTGCTGTTCTCCGTAGTTGAATCCCTTACACCTTTCAGTTTGCACCCAAATAACTCTTTCGATGAAAACCGCTGTCACTTTGATACCATGCGCATCCTAAAGGTATATATATATATATATATATATATATATATATGTGTGTGTGTGTGTATGTATGTAATTGCCGCCCCATATCACCATCGGAGAACACGATCAAACCACCAACGATAGAGTCGTTGAAGAATAACCGGCAAGTCTTCCTTTTCCAAAGGAGTGTTCACTGATTATGTTGTTGGAAACGCTATCTGCCAAAGTACTTCCAGGATGATGTGCATATATCAATCTTTAATAACCTCCCATGTGTGCGCATGTCGCTGGTAATCATCGGTTATGTTTCGCATTCATGGGTGAGCACAAATCAGATGGCCGCTTGAAAGTGTTTTACTGCATTTACGCACTGTACTGCGAAGCTGCCAGATTGCTCTTAAGACACTGTTAGGCAGAGTTTTATTCCTTCCTTGGCCTGTTTTATGGTATGGCTGGACCAAGATACGCGATGAATTTCACTTGCTCGACTGGATCAATGACTAAATGCAAGTTCATAGACAGTGTTTGCTTATCACTAGACTTCTTAAACAGCTCTGCCCCTGCAGAGAACTGCCAATCAGCGAGCTATGACCAAATGATCCTCATCTACCATTGCCTAATAATCAGCTTTTTCAGAAATAAAGGAAAACATAAATCGGTTAGAAGGAAAGTAACTGCGGATAGATTCCCTTTGAAATATGCAATATGTAAGTAGACTTCCTTGTTAGTGTCAGAAACTTCACCTTCGTTAGATTTTGATTTCCACCTTTTACAACCCAAAGCAACTGCAAAAACTTCCCGGCAATCGAGTTTTCTCGGTGATACATCTAAAACCATCACATGCGAGCAAAAACCATGAAAAAGTCATTTGACTAGTTTATGGGAATTGCGACTCAATGCAACTAAGTTTGGAAATTACTGAATCAAAAAAGTGACCGGTCAAAAACGGTGACACTGTAGATGTACACGTGTCATCAGCACCATCATCAAGCGGATGGAAGTGGAGTGGAGTTCGCTGACTACTGCCAAACGTGTAATACAAGAATTTGAGAGGTAGACAGTTTGAAGAGTTAATGTGAGAGAGTGAAAGAAAGTGAACCACTATGGTGACCACAAAGTATACAATCTAACTGTACGCAAAAATCCCTTCAAACGCCCTAATCTGGCGAGAAATTAGAGCAATAACGCAAATGCTGTCTTGTTATTCAGAGTCTCTAATGAACCAGTTGCTTCCCCGATCTTGTGAACCCTAGCCTGAAACATAGCAGATAACTTCCCTGTCCAATGCGTCAGTGTAGTTCATTACGCCTTGTATCCGAGCCACCTATTGATCTCATAATTTTCACCACCCTGAAGGAACAGCGGCAAACGGGGCGCAGTGCGGTAGGCGACTTCGAAACGTTCCAACTTGTGAAGGTTGCTTATCTGAATTTCATGTAGCAACGGGTTTCCCACACAGGTGCAATCTTAAGGGCCAAAAACCCTTCAACAGAACTAACCGCATTGTAGTACAGTATACCTTAACTTCCAACTTCAACCAACAGCCGACCAGTTGATTTCATATCAAAATATTTCATTACATTACACAAAACCTATTATATCGATCAGACTTATGTTCGGCAAATTAATGAAGACAATGAGAACATTTAGCATCGAACTTATGCCGTAGTGGTTCGCGTGGCTGTCACAGAGTTCCTTTCCGAAAGATTTGCAACAACATGACCGGATATTGTGCAGTAAAACAGTAACAGCAACCATGAGATTATTATTAACTTCTAAGCATGCAGGAACCGTCAGGCTCTTCGTTTGGGTGTCTGAATGCAAGATCATATTTCTATTTTACTGAGGCCTAACACGGAGCTACAGCTGGAAATGCCCGCGAACCCATTCTAACATCAGTTCGGTTAAACTGTCCTTAAACGTACTTCGCTCACTGATCAAACCACGATCACTTATCGTCGACTGTAGATTGTTTTGCTAACTGGGATTCGTCAATCTCTAATGTTGCGCATCAGTTGGAACCGCCTTTGACTATGACCTGAGACAGCAGCTGCTTCTAGCTCATCATCTATTTTAGATCTATTTGGATCTCGCTTTCATTCTATCGGGAATACTGAGTCTTGAAAGATCCCCTAAATGAGTTCCCACTCTAGATCTACAAGCAACTGCCGCTCCCTAATGCAGTACACCACAGAAAGCCTCTGCATGCTTCGGGGTGGGTGTTTCGCGTTGCTGCTGGTCGTCCCTTGCTTGCACTTCACAGAATGCTTCCATACGATCAAGTGTGTCAAAAAGCTTCTGTTGAGAAAGCCCTACTCACTGATTTCCCGTGATGGAGGTGTTTTACCACCTAAGTGAGGAAACGAAAAGCGAACATCTAGGGCTAGAACCGGGTCGATGAAGCACTGAGAGTTCACCTAGGGAATTGGCTGAAAACCCTGATTTCAATCCAACCAAAAGGGGTACGAACCACACCTACCCACACCTTCCTGTTTATGGCAGGGGTCACGGCTCAATTAGGTATCGAGGTGTATTGGGCACCTTGGACGCTTGACCCAGTTCAAAGGGCGTGATCGGATGAGCTAGAAATTGGCAACTAATGGACTGCGGTTTTCACACCCATCTGTCACTTTGTGGGTGAGGCTTTGGCTAACCAAAGACTCCAGTTGTGGATTTCCCGAGAAAATTCATGTACTTTGGCCTAGACGACCCGGCAGTATCGCACCCACTAGCAAATAATGCAACTTTTTCTTTATTATAAAGATAATTGTACTGTGATTTGTTTGGCTCACGATCGGGACTCAGACTTGCGTGAAATATATACACGATACTGTACTATACCATATTATACTATATATTATTCAATATCAAGTGAAAGTTATTGGTGTGATCTTGCTGATTTAATGCACGTCGTATGAAGGCTCGAGGTGTTTGCACGTAGATCCAAAACCACTGAGACTTTTGATTTTTTTACAAGCAATATATAAAATGTTTCCAAGTATCTTCTGGAGTTGTGGGCGGTTTTCGTTGTAACCTAGACAAGCACCTCGCGGAGCTTGGTGCGGTTCAAGTAATTTGCGTCGATGCTGACTTACTCCGGGTCCAGTTCTGAAAGTCGAACATTGACACCTCTACTCAAAAGTAGATCGATACCCAGGTTTGATATCACGAGATTGTGGAGTATACTCAATCCAACATTCATCACACAATGGCAAGCATTAAAATAACCCTCACTGTTTTAAATAGCTTTTACCCCAAGCATTTTAGCTGGATTGCTGGTGTTCACCCAACAGACAGGAATCATGATCATTCGGGAAGAAAATAACACTGACCCTCGAAAAGTCTCGGATTACTTTAATCAACATTGGTGGCCTTAGTCGACAAATATTGATTTGGTACATTATGTATTTCAATCTTTATCTTCCCTGGCCTTGCGCGTGTCCGAAACATAACAGTACTCATCCACAGACATAAAATATCATTTATTTTTTTCCAATTCAATTCAGGAAAGAGGAAGCGGGCCATTAAAGAGCCGCCATGTTGCACAAGGATGATGAAGTCCATGTCTTGTTCATCTGATAGTCATTTCCTTTTTAATCCATTGGAAAACTATTTTCTGCAGCTCTGACCAGTCGGATTCTTTTCCATTCTTGACCCATGGGGTAATACCGTCTCCAATCCAGCTGCTTTACCGACACATTCACTTTTTTACCCATTCAACATTTATATCCTCTCCTCCGGCAACTTTGCCCCAATGTATTTCGACTAAAACAGCGACCAGAAATGTCCTGCAAACCCCAAGATTCAGGGCCTGGGTGCTATTCTGGAAGTTGCTCCTATTCCGAATCATTTATCCATTCGGTCCCATCCACCTACTGTATTACCTTCCGGGTGGCAAATGGTGCTTTTTTATTACCGTGATGGCGGCTTGTCTGAACCGACAACTCCGGCTTATTGATCCTACATAATGAAAAACCATGATAACCAAAAACATTCATCGCACCCGGAACGCCACTTATTATTGAGCAACAATCCCATATGACTATTGGAGCTCAGCTTTCGTACATCTCACAAATCGTCAACTGCAACGAAAAATCTCGATAAGACAGCTCTAAAACCTTCGATCGAGTGTGACACAAAATTTCATTGGCGAAGTTAGTTGTTTTCCAATGAGAACTTATAGTGCTGATTCGTAGGTTCTTCAGCGGCTAAGCCGTCTCAATTAGGGATAAAGAGGGTACTTCAGGCATACGACAGATATCCGATGGCTTTCCCTAAAGATCCATGCTCTCCCCAAGCTGTCTTTCCCTTCAACGCCGCCTGTCTCCATCAATGATACTACCCTTTGCTCTCCTTGAATTTCAATATCCTCTCGCACTTTATCACACAATACTGTCCACGAGCAGCCGATGTGCACACCAATGAACTTTAATCTTGATTGAATAACATCATCATCGTACAGCGAAATACAGTGAGGCGAACTCGTAATACAAAGGTTGGTGATAAAATTTAAGGGGGGGGGCAGGGATTGGACCTATTATGAGGGAGAGGGAAGATGAACCACTATGGCCAACACACAGAGTACGCAATCGAACTCTGCAAACATATCGTTTCAAGCATT